AATATTATAATAAAAACATATAAAAGGCAAAAGCGCATGCATCTATTTTAATCTCAGTGCACTTTTCGATTTTCAGTAGGAGGAGCTTATTTTACTCTCTATTAGAGATAGTGAATGTAAACAGATGTTGTAGTTCGAAATGTAAACTTATGCCTTACACTGTACTGTAAAGTTATTTTTTTTAAGAAAAAAAATTTTTCGTTGTTGGAAAGAAATCATCTTTTTTATGAATAAATATAAAATAAAAGAACTCACAGATAGCTTCTACTAACTAAAATTTAATTCAAAATGTCATGAATTAAATTTAAAAAAAAATATTGAAAACAAAAAAATGAATGTGCCTCACACCCAAAATTAAATTATTTTTTATTATTGGCAACAACATAAAAAAAACTTTTGTAAAACTTGGAAAAAATTAAAAACAGACTTGAAAAGCATTTTGAGGAGAGAGAAGTATATCTATCCATCTGCATATTAAAAATTAAAAAAACATATTTTATGTAAATTCGATCTTTCTTCAATTAATTTGAATTTATATTATTAATTAGCAGGATTAATAAAACTGTTAATAATTAATTGCAATGATTACACGGGTGCAGCCTATAAAAACAGTTTTGGTTGCATTAATTTTAAAATGATTATTTTTGTTTACTCAAAGAGCAATAACCTAAAATTGCGGTAAGCCAACAAACAGTTTCAATAATCTATTTTGTATAATATTTTATATTTTATTTTACATATATATGATCCACAAATTCATTTAAAACAAAAACATACAAGAATTAGGTATAAGAAATGATGATTGAATTTGAAAAGCGCATAGAAAAATACTTCAGAAAGAAAACAAGGAAGGCTCCATTGAGTGAAGAAAAAGAGTGCACAAAATTTGTTAAAGAAAATATGAATAAAAATTAAATGGAATAAAAAAAGTTAGTAGAGTAAGTATGTGAAAAATCAGTGGGGGAAAACTTAGAGGACGAGGAGAGGAATAAAGAAAGACAAAGAAACAATAAATAAAAATAAAGAAGGATAGAGAAAGAAACCTGTTTAGTGCCGTGCCAATTTTCGTTAGTGCTGGTCCCCCTTAAAATGTGTGACTAGGGGGGCTTGGAAAATGATATTCCCCAAATGCCACAAGAGACTTGAAATCTGCATTATCGTTAGTGCTATGTTAGTGTTCTTCAGTTCTGTAATTATTTTCGTTAGTGCTGGTCCCAAGTTTGAGAAATGCTAGCCTTCCAAATGTCGCTAGGGTTATTGCTCTTTAGTACGTTGTTTTTTTTCTCAAAGTGTAAAAAGGGTTAAGTTATTTCTTAACATTTAAACAGCCAATTCAATCGAATGCATATGAAACCTTAATATCTGCTAGCGAGAAGTTTATTTTCGTCTTTATTTGTACATCGCTATTTCAGTGACGTTCCACAGTCTCCAAACCAAACGACATGTACAATCGTACGCGGTATCACCGCATCGCACACGTAAGGCGCATAATTTCGAAAAACGCCTTTACCACTACACTATAGACCATAGACTTTGAATGGTTTAATGATATAAACCTATTTTAATTCAGAAAATAATGAAATCCATCTATCATCAACAACATAATCGTATAAAGAATTAATGAGTGGATATTGAAAAAATGGTGGCGATAAAATGTTTAAAAGGTTAAATGTTGGTAGGAGATTCGTTATTAATTAAGTTAATTAATTGGCTTACATTTTGATAATTTGAACAATCCGTTGGTTGAGGGTGGCTTTACCAAAATTTAATTTTGAAACTTGTATTTCAGTTTTCAATTGAATGTTCTGATAATTAATTTGTTTTGTTTGTTTTTTTCTTCGCACATACGATACGGTGAATAGCAAATAACTTATTGACATTGTTTGAAATGTTATCACGGAAGTAGCATTGTATCAGCTGTAACTGATTAAATTATAATTTATATTAAAATTTTATAATGTAATTCGTCCATGTAAGCCCAGGCTCTATTCCTTTCTGCCATATACACTGCCACTATAAGCCATAAGCCGCCGACGGCAAGTTCGTGATCGTTCGCAATCATAACTAGAGATAGAGAAACAAACCCGAACTCTATTGACGACCAAACTGAACCCGAACTCTACTGACAGCCGAACCGAACCGAACTTTGAAACTGCCCGGTACAGACCGAATCGAAGATACTCTGAATTAAATGCAATTGATAGTCAAAAAATATACTTTAACGCCTAATTTTAGGCTATTATAATTTTTAATTAAGCGTGAGGCATCTTGAAGAGGTCAATACTTTTCATTTACACAACTGATCATTGTGTTGGGAATTAATAAAAATATCTCATGCACTTCCGTTTTTAACACGAAGAGCAGGTTATCACGCTCCATACCGTGTACATAACACTAATATATAAATGCAGAAACATGAAACAATTTCTGTTTAATTCAAAAATTGTTTAAAAAAAGATGCCTAAAATATTTTTTTATACTTTTCATTTTGGCACTTTGTCAATTTTTATTATAAAGAATTAAAATAAATTGCTTCATTAACTTGATAAAAACGATACAGCTACTTATTCGAAATAATTGTTACACACGAATCATCAATCTATTTTCATTTTTCAACTTTGAGTCAGTTCTTTGAAGTTGTAGCGTTAAAGGAACGCTCTCTGTACAAACCACCTTGCCCTTGAATCTAAACGAAATTTGTTTAGGGTATAATCGTCTTCATTTTATTGTATATTATAAATACAAAACCAATTTTTCGATTCAACAATAACAATTGAAATATCAAGTGGTTAATTAAAGTATGAACTCAATTGTTTAATTATATGTCAAATCATTTTTAATGACCTGTTCAATAAAATTATAAAGGAAAGAAACCCATAATAAGAAAAAAAAGTTAATTTATAACACCACCTCGCCAACGTAAATGTTTTTACCAAATTGCCACTCAATCAACTTATCAAGATAAAATCTTTGTTCCAAGACACCTAAAATATTGTCGGATTGAAATCCTAAAAACTAACAATCTTCAATAATAAATAAAACACCACGAGCTAACGAAGGGATTTGTGCGGGCTATATAAGAAACTGCGATAACTATTTTGATAGGTATTGGGTCTACTGGTGAGTCCTCGATAGGGACGAAACACGTGTCCCTGTCCAAACGAATACTATTCTGTTCTTCTTCCGCGTGCCCTCTTGGTTCGGTGTTCTCAAAAATAAGCGCAACCACAACAATAAAATAATACTCAAAAATCAATAATCATTCGACATTTGGTTTACTCCGTTTTTTTTCTTTTTCTCTTTTGTATTTATTTAGTCATTAATAAAATTATTAAATAAATAATCTAGAATCAACATTTCATTTTTTATATGTAACCATTTTATTCAGTTAATATATTTTGTCTTGCATGTTTTAACGGATTCGATTTTTTAGGGATAAGTTGAAAATATAGGTAACTGGAGACGATTTCAATTAAAAATATTTTTACAACAAACATGCTAAGATTATCATGAGATACTGATTTTTTCTTATTAAATTTATTGACAACCGACAAAACTTTTAAGCAACTTGTATTCTCCAGAAAAAAATAGTTACTCAACGTCCTGAGAAAATTTTCAAGTCATTTGTAGAAGAGGAACTCGAAATTCACACTGCAGTCTGTTCACTGATTTGGGCTTCATGTAGAGTTGTATTGTTATATTAATAATATAAGGAATTAATCGTTGTAGATGACTTTTTATTGTTCAAAATATTATTGATTAAGTCCATTTTGATTTCACATCGTTTTTTGATTTTTTAAAAATGTTTTGATATGACAGTTTTTGAGCTGTACGTTTTTTAGATGTAAAAAAAATTTCTAATTTTTTGTATTCTTTTAAGTTTTTATTTATTGGGGGTTCTGATTAATTTTTTGTTTAACTTACTTTTGATTTTTGACAGATTCATAATTTTAGTTGTTATCAAAAAAATTTATTTCTGCTCGATTGAACAGGTTTCAAAGGTGCAAATGTATCGAGAACTCTGTTGAAAACATTTAATAACAAATTTAGACTCTTGTCAACATCATTATCATTGAAGATTAACTTCCAATTTTCTCTTGCTAATTCATCTTTAATTTTTTAACCAGATGACGTTGTGAGTTTTCTTCCTGAACTACACACTGATGCTTTCTGTGTATTGACACTTTGCATGACATTAGTTATTGTGAAGATTTGAAAATGATCTGACAGATCATGCCGCTGACGATTATCGTAGATGTTGGTGAAAACATTATCAATCAAACTGACAGTGGTTGATATTGGTTTTGTTGGTACTGTTATAAGTGAAAAAATATTGAAATCTTGAAAAATGTTTTCAAAGTTTAGTTCAGCAGTATTGTTACAATTTTAGTCAATATTAAAATCGCTCAGAATATAAGAAGGTTTATTAAAATGGACAACATTCCCTAAAATGATTTTAAAAACTGTGCATATCTGAATTTGAGGGTCTATACAAAATAGCAATTTTATCCTATTCTTACTGCCAGAAAAACAAATTGATATTTTGACGGATATTTTTCTTACTGCCAGAAAAACAAATTGATATTTTGACGGATAAAATTTCCAAAGAGTTTGAATTAGAATTGCAATCTTCAATCTCGTTTTCCAAATCACTTTTTAAAAACATGCCTGCGGTTGCAGAAAATTTGAATGGAAACGTTTTTAAGGACAACATGAACTTATCTAATTTGTTAGTTAAGCTCTTTGCATTAACATGCAACATTGAAAAAGCATTTTCTAAATAGTTTTCATCAAATTTATTAATAATTTCACTAATACTTTCAAGATTGTAATAAAAACATTTGTTTAGTGAACTGATATTTAAACAATTTTCAAAATTCAGCATGTTAGCCATCGTAAATTGCATTTGTTTTTAAGCAAGATTTAATTTTGGATTGAAAATTATTATTATGGGCGAGTCCCATAACGGGACTTCGCCGTGCTCACAAGGTGCCTCCATTTTAAGCAATCATGAGCAAGTCTCCAGGCCGAGTAAGGACCGTAGTTGATGAGGGGTAAGGTCCTACTTTACTGATCGGATTTATGACTGTTTTGAATGGCCGCGCGATCGAGTCCAGTCCGGTGGCGGTCGGTCTATGACAGCTTTTAAAGCCTGGTAATGATCCTTCATGGGACTGGCACGAGCTATGTGACCAAAAATGTTTAGACGACACCTGAACAGAAATTAGGGAATGGGGGACTGCTGTGTTCTTGCTTCAACGTTGGTGACGCGATCGCGGTAGGTCAGACAAAAGATTCTGTGCAAGCACCATTGATATGTAGCGTCTAGCCTCTTTAAATGAGCGCCCGTAGTTGACCACGCCTCGCATCCATAAAGCTGCACGAGAATGATGTATGCGTCATACAATCGAACTTTGGTCGTCACCGGATCGCCAAGAGAGATTGTCTGAGTTTTCATTTTGTCCCAGTTGATTTCTAAACCAAAAGCAAAAGGCTTTGCCTCCTCGGACATAGTAGAGCCAACGACAGTATAAAAAACATCTCGCATCTCAGCCAGCAGAGTGACATCATCTACATAGTCCAGGTCCGTGAACACCTCCATGCCGATTGTGGCGCCGAGCATATTTTTGTGTACGAAACGCTTCATGATCCAAGCCATTGGAGCCAAGAACTCATCCGGCGCAAGTATACACCCTGTCTGACACCGCTGTCAATCTTGAACCACTGAGAGTATCACCCCTCCAATCTAACACAACTCAAGGTGTGGGTGTATATTGCCTTAAACAGTTTTACCAGGTGATCGGGGTTGCCCAAACCCCGGAACAACAGCCACATAGCATCCCCTGCTGACTGAATCAAAAGTCGCTTTCAAGTCAACGTTGGCAATCCAGAAAGGTCTACCAAATTCACGTCTGGTCTGTAAAAGGAGTAAGAGCGTAAATATCTTGTCGATGGTAGACCTACTAGGCGTGAAGCCACTTTGCTCTCCACGGTGCCGAGACAGCAAGAGAGGATGGATGCAATCAAGAAGGACACGGGCAAACACCTTGCCTGGAAGTGAAGTCTCTATAGTTTTTACATTCACGGCGCAATCTTTTACCCTTGTAAAACGGAATGATGATAATTTTCCTCCAATCATCCGAGACCGCACCGGACTGCCACACCCGGGTGATAACGGAGTGCATCCAACTAGCACACATAAGTCTACCTGATTTAAGCATCAGAATTTAAGGATGAATGATACACAGGCCCGGTGCCTTGCCGCTTTTTAGCGTTCCTATAGACAAGACAATCTCAGCTACGGAAAGGGGTTCAGTGTCAACCCCAGAGTCCGAGGCAGCAAATTCAGCAAAATCCAGCAATTTTTGCGAGGACGCCGACATTGGGCAGTTGAGCAACTGGCTGTAGTATTACCGCCATTTCTTTAGCTTTCCTCTTCCGTTGCTAATCAACCGGCCAATATCAGTTGAAACAGCCGGGGTTGTCTATTTAATTTTTCGAAAATGACAAAAAGCGTCCATGGTCCATCCATCTATCAAATATCAAAGCTACTTCACCATCCGTCGCCAGTTTGTCCATCCATCCGTTCAGCAAGGCTACTTCACCATCCGCTGCCGTTTGTTCGCTCAAGCCTGATGATCCCTACGCAGCTGTCTCCTGCACTTCCCACGTAGAGAGCGGGCGACTTCTTTCATGCCACTAAGTCTAGCCTGCGTTTCGTTTCAATCAGTCGCCTTGTTGCGGTTGAGATCCATTCATGACGCATGGGAACAGCATGACCAAGAAACATACCAGCCGTCTTGGTCATTGCATCACGAAATGAATCCCACTAAGAGTGCTCATCTTCAGAAGCAGTAACGAAAAACTTCTCCACCTCGGCCGCGTATGTTGCGGCAGTGACGTTATATCCGTATAAAACGGATATTGAATCTAGGGGTAGGTCTTGTTTTAACCACAATGCCCTGAAGGGAGATGGCTAGGATGGATGGGAGATGCCCACCACCGGAAAATGATCAGTATCAAACTCCATGCCACGATATACACGACAGTTACGAATCAACCGCCACCTGCTATGACCCTCAGCTGGGCCCGACCACAGTATATTGAAATCAGCAACACGCAGTTCTCCAGTGCCATGCCATGAAACTTCCTGCAGGCCCATAATGCATATACCGTATCGCGACAATTCGTCCACGATTGAAAATTCATTTACGAATGATGGAGCGTTCGGACCACTACTCCGGATCCATAATAGCAAACATTTGATCTTGAGGGACACAGAGCCTGAAACTAGTGCTGCCATTCATCGGATTTGTTTGTTCGGTTGTTAAATTTGTTTTTTTCATTATCGGTAAAACTAAAATAAGTTTAATGGCAAAATTGGTAAGGTGATTGACGATTACGTCAGTTTTAGTGAAGTTTAAGTTGCCTAAATAAATTATAGATTTTTTGACATGTGGTTGATCAGCTTTTAATCCAATATCCGATGTTGATTTGCCTGTAAACTTTTTGACAATGTTGAATTGTTGAAGTTTAGTCGTGTTTGAAACAGTTTGTTTCGTTTTTTACCATAAAGAACAACTTAGTAACCGGTGTCACTCTCGTTGGTTGTTGTGTTGGATTGCTTGCGATTTAAAGCTGAACTTTCACTTTTCTGACTATCTGAGAAAATTTTTTTCTCACAATTCATACAATTCGTTTGTATGACAAGTCTTGTTAACTAAAAACGTGTTTGCTGAAACTAAAGGTTGTGTACAGCTTTCATTGCACCTAATTCTGTCATTTGTAAACAAATTATTTTTGTCGTATTAATATATTCTTGGAACAAACTTTCCAGTTTTGAAAATATGCTATCCAAATTCCTTATTAGCCTACATTGAATAATTTTCACTCGGAATTCTTTCCACATTAAAAACAGTGAAAATAGGCATCAATTGACGCTAATTTTCACTTTTTATTATTTCTAACAATTCAAATGTATTATTTAGATTTTCTATTGTGGAGTTACCATTTGTTGAAAATTTTATTTTGTTCTTCTTCACTATTTCCAGTTCGCATTGAAGAAGTGTTTGAGCAAAAACAATTTTGGAAGCATATAGAAATCAATTACAAAATTTTTTCATTTATCAACGTTAGTTTTTTTGACATTTTTTTTCAAAAACCATAATAATTCACATATCAAAATTTTTCGACCATCGACCATGTTTGGATAGGAGTGGAGTATCAATGGTATGATATATATGATTATGATCCATTTATGAACGCACTAATTAAAAAAATTTCAGAAACACTATCAAATAAAATTGCTCAAACAATAATAGGCATGAAATGAACAAAATAATGACAAACCAGTGCAAGTTCAAGCATAAAACATAACAACATTATTAAACCAGAGAAAACAATTTTTTATAGTCAATTCACAAGAAAAATAAAAATGTTTTCAGTCCTTTTGAAAAACCATTTGATGATAATCCTGGGTTTATTCGAGACAACTGTTCCATAAGGCTGGTCCAGATGAATAGATCCGATGAGGCCCGATATGAAGGTTAGTGGCTGGAACCACCAAGAGATTCTGGTCACAGGATTTTAAGTTAACTTTAGAGAGACCAGATGTTTTTCAATAAATTTTTCCTGTAAATACTTAGGAGCATTATCATTAAGTGCTCTGTGCACCAGTACTGAAATCTAGAAGATAATTCTCTTCTCGACAGGCAATCAATGTAAGTTTTTGAGTATAGAAGTCACATGTTGACATCTCAGGCCCCCAACCACAACCCTTGCCGCACAATTCTGTATAGACTGTAAAATAATAATTGATTTGTGAAGCAATCCATAAAACAAACCATTACAATAGTCGATCGTCGAGTGTACCATACAAATGCATGGACCAAGGTGTGTAATGAGAAGGTATCTAAAACACCACGAATTTGATTAATTCTTCTGATATGGAAAAAGCAGCTTCTAGATAGTGTCTTTATGTGTTGTCTCATTGTTAAAGTTTTATCAACCACAAAACCCAAATTAACGGCACTGTCACAAAATGTTATTACCTCATCATTAACAGTGATTGACCTCAATCCAAGTTTCAACAATTGCTACCAAGTTCCTATTGGTAGTAGTTTTGTTTTATACTGATTTAATTTTAAACCACTTTTTGTCATCCAGCAATCTATTATCACAGTCGGAAATGAATCTACAGTAACATTGACCACAATCTGTATATCATCCGCATATGCATGACATGAAAACCGGAAAGATTCAATTACCTTCAAAACTAACCCTAACACCAAAACTGAGCTGACATCGGACATTTTACTACCAAACAATACCTGCTAAGTTCTATTTATCAAATAAGATTCCAACCAAATCAGAACCATTCCAAAGATACTGAAACATACACACAACCGTTTCAGAAGAATTTTATGATAGACGCAATCAAACGCCGAATTCATATCAAGAAAGCTAATTAATAATGGCCAATCAATTAATAATATATTCTTAGTATCAATAGCTGAATAAACTTTAGAAAGAACATGAAGTAGCGCTGTCTCTGTAGAATGAAACTGCCTGAAATCCGATTGATGAGCAGGTAGCAAATTGATATTTTTCAAGTGGGTAATAATTTGTTTGGCAACGACACATTATATAACTTTGGAGATAAAGCATAAATAAAAAATTGGCCTGTAGTTGCCTTATCAGTTGCATCCAGATTGTTTTTTTAATACAGGCAACACGATGGCGTGTTTGCATTGTAATGGAAAATTGCCCAACCTTAAACATAGGTTTACTAAACTTGTCAAAAATAGAGCAAACAGATTGATTTCTTTTTGATGATAAATGTCAGAAAAATAACCTGCTGACAAGAGTTAGTCGGTGAGTTCTGGAATTACCTTTTTAATATCATCATCAGTAACAACCTCAAGCTCTGGTACATCAAAATCTAAAAAATTCAAAGTTCCAGTATCCTGCTTCACATTAAGTAATTTTTCAATAAAGTAGTTCATGAATTGATTAACAGTCAGTTTTTCAGTCACATCTAACCCTTTCATTACGACTCCAACATAGAATTGCATTTGTAACTTTCCAGAGACTATTAGAACTGTTTTTGTTTTCATTAACGATTTTAACCCAAAACAGATGGCGCTTATCAGCAAACAGTTTTTATTTATTTTTCAATACAGATTTCCACTCATCACGATGATTGATTAGCAGACTTTTTCTAAAAAATTTTTCCTTTTTCCGGCAACAACATTTCATACGGATGTATTCATCATCAAATCAAGTAGCCATCCGATCTCGTCTTGTCAGAGCTGTTCGAAATGAAGCAACAATATTGGCAATTTTGACTGTTTCAATGTTAAATAACTAAATTTCTTAATCAACATTATCACCCATACACGGTCATGATATTGGAGATCCAAGAAAGACTTTAATAAATTCGCTGTTGTTTACACGAGTCCACGATCTGACCGATTTTATTATAAGATGAAAGTGACCACGATTAATTGACAGACTCACTTTAATAAAACCGTTATCTGAGTAGTTTCCCCTTGGATAGATTTTGCAATCCAATACCGGAAAATATGATTATGTAACCACTGGATTCAATGTTCCGCCATGAAAATGAGTTGGTTCATTTTCATGAGTAACCAGCTAATAATTTTCAAAAACATTTCTTACAGCAACAGCGTGTGGATCACCGTTTTTTCTACATGTATATTGAAATCACCTGCTAGCATTATCTGAGAATTTAATACAGTTATATTATCCAAGATGGCTGTTAGTTCGTCAAAAAAAGAGACAGATAGTTGAACAAAGCTAGGCCGATACATGGCAAGCAGAATAAAACCCCGTCGACCAAGGGCCAACTTGACAGCCTATATCTCAAACGTAGTAACCACCGACAGGTTAACTTTTTTTATACTTGAAGGAAGAGCCAAAAAATGCTATTAGTTCCTTATGAAACGGATCATATATATATATATATATATATATATATATATATATATATATATATATATATATATATCATACATAGTTATACGTAATATAAGTTATTTGTAAGTTTCAAACATTTCTTTGTTTTTATATTATGTTTGATCAACTATTAAGAATTGTTAATAGCATAAAATAACTATATATATTTTCATTTCTTTTAACTGTGAATTAATATTAATGTTATGTTAACCATGTTATGTCAAAAGCTTGATTTTAAATGCTTTAAAACCTTAGTGAATTCCTGACTTTTCAAAAAAAATGAAGTTGGCATTGTGTGAACATTTGGACTTATAGATCCATACGAACTGTTTGATGTTCTGTATCGCGGGTTAGCTTCTACTTTCCCATAACCTTTGAAGCAATCTTTTAAGATGTTTTCATTAAAATTAAATAATCTACCAAAAAGATGTATAAACCTATAAATAAATATATCGGAGCCTGAATTTTTTAAATGGCCAGAACGAAAGAACGAAATTGTATATTTTCTTCCGACTCGCCGGAAAACAGTACTAATTTAATAAAGAAACATTTTTCATTCGGACATTTTTTTAAACCGTGTGTTTTAGAAGATAAATATGTTTAAGTAAATAAATCAAAATATCTTACCCGGGTTGTCGAACCTCTCAGGAATTTTTCCTCTGGTTTGATAATAATCGGTCGTTTTCGCCCCGACTGCTATATTGGGTAGTCTCCAATTGTTTGCTTCTTTGTCGTCGAAATTCTGAAAATTAAATTTGTTTAATTGAAAATATCGTGAAAGTTTAAATAAACTTGTTTCATTGTTTACATTATTTGGAGAAAACATATCAAATTAATAAACGTTTTTAAGATATCTTCTATCTAAAGACAGTTAAAATTCAAATAATCATCGTGTAAATAAATTTAATTGTTTATTTAATTTTTTGAAGCGTTTTTTTAAATTAATTTTGCATTAAAATGTTTAAATCGCAACTTTTTAAAGATAAAAAAAGTTTAATAATTCTCTATGCAATAAATTTGAATAACACTCATTAAAAAAACTAAAAAAAACCCAATTAAAATTTATTTAGTTGTTAAAATTTATTGCTATAACTCTATTATATTTTTTCATATAATAATTTAATTAAGTCTACATACTTATTAATTATTGCGTTGTTATTAGAAAATTTCAATCACCTCCTTTATTGTAAATAAATAGAGCATTTTAGTAAAAAAAATCATTTTAAAATCAGTTTAATATCTTTAATTTTTTTACTTTAATTGCCATTACGGTAAAATCCAACTTTCCTAAATCTGAGCTAGTTGGAATTAAATAGACATTGTCGTGTAAGTAAAAAAATCATTCTTAACCGGGTTTTCGAACCCCTCAGGAACTTTTCTTCTGGTTTGACAACGATAGGTCGTTTTCGCACCGACTGCTATATTGGGAGATCTCCATTTGATTGCATCGATGTTGTTGCAATTCTGAAAATTAAATAAGTACATTTAAAAATTGCGTGAAATTTTAATAAAACTTTTTTCATCATTTACATCGTTTGGGGCAGCATATCAAGTCTTGGCAGACGAGATGGCTCAGTGGTTCAAATGCGCGCTGAGTCAAACATCTCAATGGCTATATACTCAGCGTATATGATGCGGTGCTTGCGGGTGCATATAAAATACATGTGTGTGTCAGAGCTGCAATAATAAAAAAAAGTAAATAAACCTGTTAACGATATTTTCTGAAAGATCCAATTATGAAGACTGGGATAACATCAACAGCTGGATAACATCAACAGCTGCACAACTTATAAAATTCTTCGGATCAAAGATAAGCTGGAAAAAAAATAACTGGAATATCTGTACAGCGATTTTTTGGCTGACAAAGTTTGCCGATTAGTAGGACTATAGCGGAAGTGTTCGGCCATTTTACGAAATTATTTCCTTGTGGTGATTTATTTGTTTTTGTATTGCATGATATGCAGGCCATAAAGTGTGTCGTTGTCGGGGACGGGTTAGTTGTACAAGTTGTTCGTTTGTTTCATTAATATTGTCTTTGTGTATTTTTCCGTTTCGTAGCTTTAAATATTTCTATCGTTAATTAAGCAGTTAAGAGTTGAGTGTTGAGTTGGTGGCTGAACTTTTTATAAAAATTTTACTTAGCTTTTTTTAGCTAGAATCTGGAAGGTAGGTAAGCGTAACGTAAGGCATCAGATTGGACTCATGAATTGCCTAGCTATGTCTAAATGTTTACAATACAAAATTTGCTCTTGTCATGAACAGTCATGGATGGTTTTTGTATTGGTCAATCAATGTGTCCCAGTGACAGTTTGTGTTGGCCTAATAATCTCTAACTAAGTTGTGGCATATGTATATTATTAATTTATAATTTTAGATTAGATTATTTAAATTTTAAACAACTAATTCAAATTTAATATTCTATTTCTCTCTATTTTACTACTATAATTATAATATTATATTTTGTTAAATTATTTTTGAAGGGCTGTTGGTAAGACATGTTTGTTAACCATCTCTATTTCACTACTATAATTATAGTATTATATTTTGTTATATTATTTTTAAAGGGCTGTTGGTAAGACATGTTTGTTAATCAGCTACACTACAAATGCATTTCCTGGGGAGTACATACCGACAGTGTGAGTAACATTCTAAATAACTTTTACTCTTTACTAAATTTTTTTAATAGTTTATCCTAATAATCATAAATAAAGTTCTGAAGGAAAATGGCAGTATTTATTTATGTTTGATTTTGTTTTAAATCACAGAGTCCTTAATTTACTAATTAATACAATGAAAAAATTAGTTATATCATATACAGTTGTTTTTAATATTTTTTAGTTTTGACAATTATTCTGCCAATGTGATGGTAGACGGCCGACCAATCAACTTAGGTTTGTGGGACACAGCTGGTCAGGAAGATTACGATAGACTCAGACCACTTTCCTATCCTCAAACAGTTTGTAATTTTTACAATGGAATTTATTCTTGGTAATAGGGATATTGAAAACACAGATGCATTTGACATCGGCGTTGGAGTTCACCAAGGCTCGATTCTCAGTCCACTGTTATTTATAACTGTGATGGAAGAAATCACAAAACCGATATGCACTGGTGACATTTGGAATCTAGTATATGCTGATGATATCGTTTTAACAGCCACGTCTTAGCAGAATGCAGCACAAATGTTTGAAGATTGGAACACCAGACTCGCCGATCATGGATTCAACATCAGTCAGCAAAACCAAAGCAATGAACACTGGTGAACCCATCCAATCCACAGCTACTGGACGATGGCCCTGTTCAGTTTGTAAAGCTGGTGTAGGTAACAATTCAATCAAGTGTCAGCAGTGTAACCAGTGTGTCACAAACGTTGTTCAAAAATAATTGGTAGTTTATCTAAGATGTCCAATTTTGTTTGTCCTGCTTGCATCAATCCACAACAACAAATTCGAAATAGCACTGTTTTTGAAGCCATTAAAATAGAGAAAGTCACATCGTTTCAATATCTAGGGGATGTTCTGAATTGTACTGGAACAGCTGAAGCTGCCGTTCGAGCACGCATACGTGCAGCCTGGAATAAATGGCATCTCCTTGCCTCTATATTGATGCGGCGTGACATCCCACTACCACTACGATCAAGACTTTATAAATCTGTGATACGTCTGGTGTTGTTATATGGTGCAGAAACTGGCCAATGACAACCAAACTGGAACAACAACTTCAACGAACCGACATGAAAATGCTCCGATGGATGCAACGAATTAGTCTGAAGGACCACATCAAATCTACCGAAATCCTGCGTCGTGCTGGTTTAGATGATATAAAGGACGAATGCCGGCAACACCGTCTGAGGTGGTTTGGTCATGTCAAACGAAGTGGAAACAGTGCCATAACTTTTCTTGCAGCCGTCCAAAGAAGTTCTGGTGGCAAACAATCGAGCAAGACATGAAAGCTCTAAATTTAAATGAAATGGATACAACTGATCGTCTAATTTGGCGCAAAAAGTTGATGGCAAAGAAAACAACGTCCTACCTCGGGAAACCAGGTCTCTGGACGCAAAACGAAGATTGATTGATTGATAATATGATATTTATGCAATAGAATTTATGCTGAAGCATCTGTATCAGTGCATAATTATATCTCGTTAATGTTAAATAATGTTTGATTTAGTAAAATCAAATGAAAAGTTTATTTGACATCGTTGTTGTTTTTTTACAGTTATGTAATCATATCATTGAAGGTTATTTGTTTTTTACTTGTATTAGTTCATTGATAGTAATGCACAGTGGACACACGTACATACCTTCACAAAGCATTTTCATTTATGTTCTTATCACCTAATGTGAATAGTTCTTTAAATTGTAGACTACGTCGAATATTTCCAGGGTGTTTTTGTTAATTCATGAATATTTTGATGAACGTTTATTAAAATTGAAAATAATTTGATTTTTGAATATTAACAGGATGTCTTTCTGATCTGCTTCTCTTTAATAAGTCCTGCATCATTTGAAAATGTCAGAGCCAAGGTATTTCAGTCAATTTGTTTGCTTTTTGATAGTGAAGCATGTTTTGAAAATGGTTGACGTCTTTTTATTAAAATTATTTTAAATGGTGTCAACAGTTTTTAAAATAATTATCAGTGGTTTCCTGAGGTGAGCCACCACTGTCCACAAACACCAATCGTGCTGGTGGGCACAAAATTGGATCTGCGTGAGGACAAGGAAACTATTGACAAGTTGAAGGACAAAAAGTTATCACCGATCACCTACCCACAGGTTATCATTTGTCAGCATCATGCCTCTCACTGATTAACAGCTTCTCTCTTAGAATTAGATTATTTTTTTTTTGTGTTGTCCATTAATTTAAACTGTTGATGTGTTTTTATTGGATAGGCTGGGTGTCTGCTATTATTTATTTGAGCATATCAATTATTAACCAATAAATTTAAGGAGCTATTTGCTGGTAGGTGATGTTTATTAATGGAACCAATGCGAATCATGCACACATTCAGGGTTTAGCAATGGCAAAGGAAATACAAGCAGTGAAGTATCTTGAATGTTCTGCACTAACACAAAAAGGATTAAAGACTGTATTCGACGAAGCCATCCGAGCTGTCCTCTGTCCCAAACCAAAACCTAAACAAAAAAGACCTTGTACCCTTTTGTAATTATATGTCCATTATGTATCATTGTTTCATACGTTCTATTATAATATATATTTTTCCCATTGTCTACATAAATATTTATAAATGATTATGTTTTGCATGCATTTGTATAAATAGACATCGTTCATTTATTCATTCATTCATAAATTACCATGCATATGTTTGTTGCAAAATAAAGGTTTAAGTATTTTCATGAAAAGAATGATTAGCATTTGCTTGTTATTCATTAAATTTTATTGTTATTTCATTTATTTTTATTGTCGTTGTTAGTATTTTTGTTACCTTGTGTTTTTTCTGAAAGTTGCATTGAGAGAATGCAGAAGTCCTATTTAGTTGTGAAGTGAATGAAGTCATTAATTTTCAATGGTTGGTGCATGCATCTTGTGCGCTTCCTGAGTTTCATTGCAGTTTTCATTGCAGTTGTACGTGGCTGCATGCACATCATTAAATAAATGTGTACGTGAACAAGCATGTCTCTGCATGTGTGTGCGTGCGTGCCTGTGCTAAACTTTATACGAAAGCATCTTATTTTCTGATTATGTTTTTATGATGATTTTTTTTCAATTATTTTCAACCTTACTTGTTTCCTGACATCATGATTATGATTTATTTTAAAATTCTTGTTTATTGTTTAGTAAGCATTTCATAATTCTGCTGTTGTCCATTTAGAAGTCATTAATCCATTATCAATTTTTCATACATTTATTTTTCATACACTTACTACGTTTAATGAAAAGTTATGTAATTATACTGATACTTACTTTGTTGTCTTATCGCCAAGAACTTGAATGTTTGAGTAAGTAATTAATCTACTCTATCTCCTCATTTATATTATAATTTGTGCTTTATTTTGTTCATTTCACTAACGTACGTTTGTCAATCTTTCGCTAGTTATTTATTTTATTTTTTAATTAGTGTAATCTAGCTGCTTACGTTTATTTACGTATATATATATATATATATATATATATATATATATATACATATATATATACATATATTAAAACGAAGAAAACACGCATTTTGATTTGTTTCACGTTTTGTTCTGAAACCTTTATTTTTTAATTTAGTTTTTTGATTATTTCAATAAGACTTGATAGTTCGTAAATTAAATTGCTTTTTATTTTGTGTAATTCCATTCAGAAATTATTTTCAGATTCTTTTTAGCGACAACAATGTAGTTGGCTACTTATATACATTATTTGTGTATGTATATTATACATGTTTCAATATATATATGTGATGCGCAAGCGATGTTGGTTACCTGGTTGGCCCTCATTTTGTGTACTAAATAGTGGATATTTGCCATGGCAAAATTTTTTAGAAAATCATTAAAATCATGTACGTGTATAAATGCTCTTTTTAAAATAAGTAAATCTACATCAGATCGTAACGTTTCCTTTAAACACGGACAATTTAAATTTCATCCAAAAATTTGAAAGCGTCTTGAACTGTGTTTTCTGAAATCGTAAAAATGTTGAACGCCGTTCACGTACAATGGTTAAAGGAAAATCATTACTTCCAAATCTTGGAATGTAATAAAATAGGAGAAACTAACCATAAACGCTGACGTGTTTGTTCTTTGCAACTCTTTTCTCAAGAACCTTGTCGCCGTGTTGCTGTGAATTTGTTACACCGTCATTGGAGTTCGTCTGAATCAATTTTATGCGCGAACTGTAACTATTGTTTTCGTTTTCCTGTTGAAACGGGGCGATTTATTATTGCTTACATTTGCAACAACTTTTCGTTAAATGAAGTAGTTATTTATAAATTTTGAAAATGATTACGTACCGTTTTCTTGATGTTTGCTGAAATTGAAAAAATATTTTATTTAAATGTTATAAATAGCAGAAAAAAGTATTATATTCAACGTATTCATCGGTGGCAAATTTTTTAGAATGCAAAATTTCTTGTGTCAACGCAATTCAGCGTACGATCCCCAACTAAATTATATGTGTCGTGTCATTGCCATCCGTCAGACTATGTTTTGTAAACTTCAATCGTAAGCGCCTAATTTGTATGTATCATAAACGTCTATGTCGTATGCAATTGTAAGGATGTCTGTTGTATGTTACACTAATCTAAAAAACTACTAATCTTTTCATTCATTATTTTCTTGATAAAAATTTGATTTTTAGTGATATAAAGAAAATGATATTCTGAATTTTAGTCAATCGTCCAAACTAAACCACATTGCAATGACAGGGAATTCGAAAAATGGTGTACATTTGCAGTATTTTACAGAAAAATATACTACAAAAAATTTACTTACATTTTAAACTACAAATTTATAAAAGATTAAAATAACACGATAAAAAAGTGCTATCTATTATATTAAATTATGTTCTGGTCGGATATTTATTAATTTTACGGATGTGATGTTTTCAAAAAGTAATTTATATTACACTAAAATATTTTTGCTTTATTTTATTTGCTTTAACTTTGATACGTACTGCAAAAAATCGCCGCGGACGGGTTACCAATTTGATACTTACAATCTAAATGTTCATGTAAATAGTGTTGAATCCAGTAGTAAGTTTAGTAGTTTACTAGCGGTAAATCACCCCCAACCAGACGATGAACGAAAAAATATTCAAGATTTTGTGCACCAATAATAAAGTGAACAAAAATTAGCAAAAGAAGGTCATCAACTAAAAATCTATAAAGTCTTTATAGATTCTTAGTTGACTAAACTAAACGGAGAAATAAACGGGAACGACGTAGAATTATCGAAAATAAAGAACATCAACTTTAAAATTTTGAAATCATTCCTCCATCGAAAAATTCTCTCTACACCACTGCATGTAAATTACCTTAATGATTTGGATTAAGCATAATGATTTACCAAATTTCAGATAAGATCACTTAAACCGACTTGTAACTTGATCTTCGTCCAGTCGAACTATTTTCAAAGTCGGCATCTCTGTCCAGCCATTCACTGCATTTTTCGATTCGTAATGAATATTTTCATCTACTTGACTTTGTTGAATGTTGCCGTAATAAAAACAGCCTTTATCACTCTGCTCGTTGCAACAACAAAACCTATAAAAAATAAAAGACGCAAAAGAAAATGATTTAATTGCGTTTAATCCTACCATTAAAATAAAATATTTACCTAAAAGAGATAATCATGAAAATAGCAATCAATATAGCTATGAATATAAATATTGCACCCAAGGTACATCCAACTAGGAGAGATAGTTTAGGGTCCATTTGCCGTTGAATTAATGTAATTATTTCACAAAAGATTTATTCAGAATTACTTCATGTTTACCAATAATTAATGATTAACTGACGCTAACATTAAAAAACCGAACGGAGCTAACAATAAGCACACCGGAGCAGTCTGTAGCACACTTTTCAATGAAACTAGATAAGCAGACTATTGTTCGCATTCAACAGGTATTTCTGTCATGTTTAAATATCCAAATTAATAACTAGCTCACTTTACTACTGCTATTTCTACTATTACTTCTGATTTTTCTCTTTATCTATGCTACAAATATTGCTACTGCTACTGACGTTGCCCCGCCACTTCCACTATTGCTAATACAAATTACTATGTTAGTGACCCAATAATAATAATAAAAATTATTATTATAACAATAACAATTGAAAATTGTATTTACCCGTCAAAATAATAAATCAAATGATAAAACGAAATCTCCAATAAAACGAATCATAATGAAGTGGGTTTACAATATAAGTTCCTCCCGTGCTCGATGAGTTGTTTCTGTCATAACAAATACTATATGACGAGCTAATAGCAGCGTTTATTAATAATAATATATATAATAAATATAATAATAATAATAATTAATTAATTAATAATAATATTATTATTAATTTATGTCGCGTCTTATGCATAGCTTCAGGGGCGCTTGGATAAACAATGACTTTTGACGTTTCCGTAGGCCTGAATAAACAAAAAGTTCTTTAATCGTTTCATAAAAAGTTTGATGGTTGACTGTTGACGAATAATGGCAGGCAAACCATTCCACATGGAAGGAGAGCTGTATGTAAAACATTTGTTGACAACTGATGCTGACAGGTTGATGCAACTGAGTATATGAAGACGAGCGAAGTTGACGAGTTGATGAACGACGCGATATAAGTTGATGAAGATATTGATGAATGAGATGTAATAAGTAACTTGTACTGGAAGAGGGTGGGTTTAAATATAATGCGTTGACGTACTGGTAAACAATGTAGTTGAATGAGTGAATCTGTGCTGGAAGACAAATTACTGATATTTAAAAATTTTTGCAACTCTATTTTTAGCTTTTTGAAGTAAAGTTTAAAGGTGAGAAGGAAGACCGTAGAGAAGAAAATTACAATAATCTAAACGTGATAGTACGAGACACATAGCCAGTGCAGTACGTATCTAGTCTAGATTAGATCAAAGCCAAGACATGAGAACTAAAAGATAGAGAAGAGTCAAAAGTTAAGCCTAAAAATTAAAGTTTAGAGATTGAAGAGAGAGAAAAATCAGCCAAGAAAACGTGTGGTATGGGAGAACATTTGCTAAGCTGTTGCGGGGTACCAAGAAAAATTATTTTTGATTTGTCGGGATTTAGCTGAAGAAAGTTTGATAAATGCGTGGTTTGATCTAACTCATCCTTTTAGAAAATAAATTTCCCTTGATTTAATCGGCGGCTTTAAATTTGCCTCGTTGAATACATTGAAGATGATTTCCACTAGCATTTCCATTTTCACTCCATTTCACTAGTCTCCACGTACAAAGTTCATCAGTGAGTGCGTACTCGCGAGAGGACAGTACGTTGGCTACATATAACTTTTCCAAACACTTTCCGTAAGCAAGATTTGCTACTGATGGCAGCTCATCATAAATCATTTTTTGTTTTATAATAGAAATTAAGAAACGTAAATTAACAGCTGACATTTAACAGCTAACAGCTGGGGAATGTTTCACACCAACTGATATTTAGCCAGAGCCACTATTTGCCACTGTTTTCAACTATCAATGTCAATCAAAAATTTAGTGTCAAGTCCTAGCGCAAAGAATCGTCCAAAAAAGCCACCACAAATCTTAATTTAAATGTCTTAAAAAACTATAACTATTGACATTACAAATACCGTTTACCACACGTATGGACCTGCCGGAAGTGGTAGGCGCGGACATCGGATCATGTTCAAACTTCGCAGAGGTACTAATTAAATCATATGTTTGCAATATTGATCGAAAACATAATTAAATTACGTTGATTTTTTATGGTAACAATGGTGACCGAGGATAAACAGCAAAAAAGCAAGGGATCCCGAGACCCTTTGTTCCACTCTCTAGCCGAGTAAAGAAAGGAATAAGTTGAGATTTTAGACTACTAATCAGCTCATCGGTCAGACAAGTTTAAAAAAAAATCATCAACACCGTCTGAGGTTCAGTGATTTAAACTTGGTTCCAACGACGTACCTCAAAACAGACTCGCGCAACATAGACGTCAAGACCAATGGTTTAAAACAATTTAACTGCTCCTTTTAGAAGTCTGGACTTTAACCTGCGTAATTTCGAAAAGAAATTCAAAATAAAAACTTTTTAATTATTTTTTCAAATGCAATGATCATTTTTGCGAATTATGTTGACGATGTTATTTTTATAAGGTTTCATTGAACATTTTCAATATGCTGACGATATTATTTCTAGTTTATTATTAAGTTGCATTTTAAAGATATTTATTATAACAGATAGAAAATTTCTTATTATCGATGAAAATATCAGCATACCACGGAAAAGTGTTTCCCATATATATAAAATATAACATAATATATATATGTAATATATATATATTTATATATATATATATATGTTGGTAAAAGACCATAATTTTTACAATATTCTATATATTCTACCAAATAACATTCTCCAAAAACTTTAGTGGGAGAAATCGAAAAAACTACGAACATATTAACGCAAAACATTCGGTAGAATTTATAGAATATTGTAAATATATATATATATAATATATATATATAATATATATATATATATATATATATAGAATGTATATATTCAATATGTGGTGTTGACCAATTAAATTTTGTTCACTAGAAATTGAATTTTTTTTGTAATATACGTTTATTTCTTATCATAATGAATAATTATATTATTTTTAATTTTCATACATTCTAATTGACGTTAAAATAATTCCAGAAGTTTCATTTTATAAATATGCTTTATCAATATGATCGAATAAGTGGTTTTAAATCTGATATTGACAATTTCTTCGGTGATGTGATGCATGATTGGAAAGCTAACTTTTCTCGATAGTTTTTGTTAATATTTTTCTTATTAAATTTCTAATCTTGCCTAAATTTTTTATTTTTGCAAATTTTGCAGATTTTTATTTTTCTTTCAGATACATTTTATATGACTTTGGTTCAGTGTTTTTTTCAAATCTTGCTTAAATTTGCTATTGTGTCTGTAACGCGAGATTGATAGATTCGGTTACTTATCTAATGAAGTCCATTATTTTCTGTATTTGTTAATGTTAATTTGTTTTTTGTTAAACAATTTTTTTGTATATTTTTGATTTCTCGAATTTCATTTGTTGTTTAGCAATGGACTATGCCCGCGCTATTGGATAAATAAATATTTTAAAAATCACTACAGCTTGTTATTTTGTACAATATTTTAATAATATTGACAATAATAATAATGGGAGAGATTACACACACAAACTCAGTGCTCCTATATCCTTGGTTAGCCAATTAAAAACAGCATCGTTTTTTTATTGTTTTTATACAGTAAATGAGAAAGTTGACAAATGAATCAAAAATTTTTTAATAAAATTAGCAAAACATGCGTAAATGATAAATATGAAAACTAACAAAAATGTAATGCGCATTTTTCAGTCAAATATAAAACTTTTAAACATTCATTAGTCGTGCGACTTTTTATTTAATGTTTGTAGCATTTCTGCGATTTCCGTCAATTTTTCACGTGATTTTCCTCTTTCAAGGCCACGTTTGATTTCAATCTCGTTTAATATCTTCCAGTCATCAAACGTCACAACTGTTAAATTATTTTACAACACATTTTTTCAATTTATTAATGCAATAAATTGGAAGAATTGATAAATCTGCTTTGAAATTCCAAGTTGGATGTACAGAACACCAAACTTTAATAGTCGATGTAAATTTAACTGCTTTGATCACTGTATTATTTTGGAAAACGTACATCTTTGTTCATTTTCAAAAAATTATTTTATTCTGGCCCTGAGCGACTTAAGAAGCCTTGAACACGATGATTGAATACAATCATTAAAAATTTTCAAGAGAATGTCCCACAAAAATATTTTCACCCTTTTTATTCTTTTATCCATTTTTTATTTTTCAAATATTTACTCATTATGTACATTCCATTTTAATACCTTTCAAACAAATAATAAGAGCTTCGACCTTCTTCGCCTAATTTTACAAATTCATGCCCCACTTATATTATCATAACATTCTCAAGTCTTGCAAGATCCATCAAATAAATAAAAAAAACTAGATACCCCCGCGTTTGTTAAAACGCATCTTAACAAATTAAACAATATCTTAATACTTATATTTATTTAGTTGTCTCAAAAGGACTCATTAGATGTAATAAATTTTGTAATTAGACGAGTTTCAAACTTAAAAAACCAAGACGAAATAATTTAAATAACATTTTATTTACAGCAATAACCTGCCTGCCTGCGCCGCTACGCATCCTAATATTAAACCAGGAGTGGGCAAACTTTTTGTTGTGAGGGCCGCATTGAGAACTATTTTACCTTTGAAGGGCCGCTTATGTACTTGAATATACTTTTTTCGACCCGGAGAAGAACTTTTTACTTTTTTAAGACTTGTGATTTTCTTTCGGTCATAATGTCTGGCTGACGACCTTTTTCGGCGAATAAGGCATCGCTGGCTGCATAAAATAGCTTCGCGGTCTTAGTTTGCTCACCCCTGTATTAGACTAATCGCACATATCCAGTTACTCAAGTGTGCATGCATATTAGACATGAGCTTTCCCAAACAATTGAGCAAAAATGCTAAAAAATTTCGAACTCTTAATGGGTGTCGTCATTGTTAGAAATCTCAATGTCGAAAATGAAATTTCTAGTGCCCATTTCGATTATTGATACTAAATTATATCTAGATAATTTCACAATGCCCCGATAAATGCCGAGTAGCTTGTGCTAATTTCCCGATTGTTCCTCAACATTTCGATATATTTCCGTTAATTTGTCGATGAACGATTATTTCTTGATGTCAAAATTTGCTAATAGAAATAAAAAAGGCATGAGTGTATTTAACATGTATTTATTATTTAGTTAGAATGTACCTGAATTGGTTCAACTCATATTGGTGGTGGCACACTCGATGTTGTTTCAAATTTTTATCTAGTAATTGTACAATTTTTCCCAGTGGTGTCCACTCGGATTCCAGTTTCATCAAAGTTGTCTTTCCATTCATTAATCACAAGCCGATAACCACCAAAAAATTGATTTGGTCATGGAATCGAATAATAAATGTCACTTATAAAGCGCCAATGCAAGCGACCGAAGTTTGAGTTCCGGTTATTTTCCTAAGTCTTTTAAACACGCTGTTTTAACTCCTTATTCAAAAAAACCATATCTTGAGAAAAAAATAATTACCGCCCTATTTCTAATAATTTCTTTTTATCTAAGGCGATTGAAAGTGTTGTTTCTAGGCAACCTTCAAGTCACTTATAAAAATTCAATTTAATGCCAGTGTACCAGTCCGGTTAAAAACAAAATCATTCCATAGTGATCGCTTTGATCGATGTAACGTCTGAATTGTTTGCATCTATGGACACTCAAAATATATCATTGTTAGCCTTATTAGATATGAGCGCAGCCTTCGACTGCGTTGATCAACCTTTGATAGTTGATAAGCTCAAACATTGTTTGGGGATTGGTTGCCTCATGGTTTTAATCATATCTGATTGAAAGGACGAATGAGATCTTTTTTGAAAATAAGCTGTCTGATGTTGAATTGGTTACGTCATGAGCCCCCCAAAACTCAGTCTCGGGACCTCTCCTGTTTTGTCGTATACGGCTGATATGTTTCACGTTATTGAGGGTCATAATTTTAAATTTCATGCTTTCGCTGACGATGTACAAACAATAGCTCCTGTTGACTGTAATAACACTTTTAAAACACAAGTCAACCAACTTGTCTGCTGTATCGAAAAACTAAACAAATGAGTAATGAGCAAAAGATTAAAGTTAAACGAAAACAAGGCTCAACTGTTATTTGTTGGCACCTGGAAACAACTACAAAAAATTCGTCTGAGCTCAATTGAAATGTTTGGTACAGTTGCCAGTTTTTGTTCTTCTGTTAAAAATTTGGGCATCATTTTTGATCAGAATTTGTCAATGACAATGGATTAGCACATCAAAAAGTTAAGGCTTGGGCAAGTTAAAAATACACTCGACGATAATAATAACAACAACAATAATAATATGTTTGTTAGTGTACGTAAGTTTGAATATATTGGTAATTGATTCATCGGTAACTGAAAAATATCTGGGTTTTTTAGATACCAATAATTGTGTTTTTCTTTTTTCATTTCCAAGGCGGTTATCTTAACATTAAAATGTCAAGATCCCGTTCCCAATCATCAATCGACACTTAAAATATTTTTGTCCGAATTACGTTTGATAATAATTTCTTGCTACTCCGACAAACTTTCTTTCTTTTCCCATTCCATGCAACGACACATCGATAATAAATTTCAAATTAAGACACTTGTTACTTTCTCGTTGGACATCGAGAAATTGAAGAACACAATTAAATTAAAACGATTAAAAATTTTTTTCATATCAAAGATTACCACGTTTTTTGATTCTTTCGTGAATTCTAAATGGTATCTTATGACTTAAATATCATTAAAAAGTTATATATTTATCATTTTTAAATCTTGAATTACAAAATTTCCATTTCAACGTTTTGTTATGAGCGTTCTATTTATATGTTCATGTTCAATTTATATCCACCATCAGTAGTCAAATGATATGATTTTCCAAAATTTTAAAAATATTAAAAATGTTTATAAATAGTTATAAATTTTTGAATGCCTTTACTTTTTTCAAAAACAGACACGAATAAATGAAAGAGCACGAAAATCGTTTCAGCCAGTTTTAGATTTTAAGTAATAATAATAACAACCCTAACATTTATATATCGCCGATTCGCACGCGCTGCTGTAGAGTCACCCAAGTCTACGTGCATTTAATGAAAAAATGATTCTAAAGTCTTTTTTTAAAAGACTCAGTGACGAACTATGTCTCAACTCGAAAAATAACGCATTCCAAACCTCCGGAGCTCCGAGTGGCGTGACGAAAACCTTGACTACCAAGGTGGGACTTGGCAAAAGGATTGTTTAAAAAGCCTGTTAAGGATCTGCAGAGCGATCTCGTATGCTCATGGTGAGATATGAGGTCATGTAGATAAGCTGGGGATTTTGACATTTTTTTGAAGGTTTATTTGAAACTGATTCAAGCGGAAGCAAGAAGCTGGTGAATCATTGGAAGGAGAATGAAAAAGTTGGAGCGAGGAGGTTTTGTTTTGAATAATCTGTAGTTTCTTGATGTTTGATGCAGTTTTGTGAGGCTTTACGTAACAGAAAGTTGCAGTAGACTATTTTTGATAGGACCAGACATCTACCAAGAGTAACAGCAACATAAGAACTAATCATGTCTAATGTTTTATTGCACAGAGGTGATAATTACATGATTTGATGACATCAAATGTGTGTTTGTCAAACGTTAAACATGCCAAATGTGACAACGGGTAATTTAATAAAATTCGAAATTGACAGTATGGAAAAATTGAAAATGAAAAGTTGGAAGACCAGCCAAGAAATGGGCAAATGACAATACAGAATAGACTGGGGTGGAAATATTTAATTCAACTGAATTGGTCACTAATAGAACAGGATTTTAGAAATCTACAACAAAGTTGAACGGGATCGACCTCAACGGTTTCTCAAGGAATTAAAAAAGAAGATCATTGACCGATTGTTTAGTTCACTTTACCACTCTGTTACTATAGCTTATTAAATATAAAATTTTCAAATGTTATATTATATATATATATATATCGTAAGCAAAAACAACAAAAGAAACTAACAATGATCCTTAAACTTGTCAAATAACTTTTGTCGGTTAATTTCTGATTCTTCGTTGCATTCTAAATGACCTGATTTAATATCTTCAACGACCGATTTCCCTGTTTCAAAAGCACTGTTCATCGTGCTAACTAACACGCCGACCGGGCCTGTCTTCAACCAGCCACTGCAATACAGACCTGAAATTCATTATAAATTTCGAAACAACTCATGAATTTTTAAAAATATTGTAATAAAACAAATAATATAAAAATCTCGTAAGAACCCTTCTTGCCGAGTACTCTCCCAAGATGATTAGGAACAAGACCTCTCTCCTCATCAAACGGTACTTCAGGGTCCAGTTGTTGACTTTTGTAGCCAATACTTTTTATGACCTAGATGCGTTCGATGAGTGAAAATTTTAAATAAATCTAAAACTTCAACCAGTCTATTGTAAAAAGTGAGAATGACCATTGAAGTCTCTATGGAGTCCGTTTCTTCAGTGGCAACTGCTTTGCATTTCATGTCCATTTCATTCTAAAAATATTACAATTTATCAATTGCAATGTTAAACAACGAAAAAATGAATGAATGAATGAATGAATGAATGATCGAATGAATGAATGAATAAAAAATAAATAAGTGAATAAGCTGAGTGCGTGAATGAATGAATGAATAAATGAATGAATGAATGAACAAACGAACGAACAAATTAATGAGCAAATGAACGATGAAAACGAAATGAATAAACGCATAAAAACCGGCAGCATGTTGACAGAAAATAAAACGGATGCGACGGATGTTGGATCTCGCACATCATTAACAAATTTCAGTGGACTTCTCTTAAAAAGGATGTGCAATCCTTTAGTAATATTTCCAGTGCGCTCGACATTTTCGTCTTCTGAAACTTTCTTGATTTGAAATTCAACAAGTCTTTTTTTAGAGGTGGGTATACCTGGGAGTATTTTATATAGAAATGTAATTAAATATTTGAATTTACAAAAAAATATTGAAATGTTAACGACATAATATGAACTGAAAAGTAAATAAGAAAGATTTGAAAACAATGTCTAATCCTATTTACAACATAATTGCTAGAGGTTTTAGTTTTATTGAAGTAACAAAATTCATTTACTTTGGGCATTTTCTCTTATGTATGCAAAATCACTTTTATTTAAAAGCAGACGGCAATTCGACAATTTTGAAATTTCTCTGAACTCTGAAACTGTGAAAGATGCTTGTATGGGCCCTCTGCGACCAACCAGGTATACAACTTTTATTTTACTTTCAGATAGCTTTTCAAGAGCATAATTTGCAATATCTGTTTTCTTGAAATATATTTCCAAATGTCAATAATAATCCATAAAAAAAATAATTATAAAATTTTCATTCAGACCATTTTAAAATAATTTGCTAACACGCAAACATTCAAGTTGTAGTTTGTAGGAGAAAACTTAATTTAAAACATCTGTTACAAAAATTTACAAAATGAACATAAAACCTCTAAAGCACTAATTGGTGATAGAAGGATTCTGGCTACATCTATGGCTACATTGCCCTGACCGAGTATCACACATGAATCAGCATTGAAATTCATATTTACCTATCAAAATAATATGCAAATATTAAAACATCAGAATTATCTTGCATTTAAATAATAAAACAAACATTTCGGTACCCAGGAGTGCCATTGTACCAGTTGACGAAATCACTGGCTGGAAGGACGCCATTTAATTTCTGAAATTTTTGAAAAAGCAAACAGAATAAAATGGTCTTGTATATAACTTAGTAATATATTTCTAACATACAACCGCTTTTATCAAATTTGTTAGGCGGCGTGATGGTCTAATGGTTAAGGTCGCCTGGTGCTGTTTCGCAGTAACCGGGTTCAAATGTGACAAAAAGATCCCCGCCTATCCCATGCTTCGTGTGATGCGTCGTTTAGCACGTATTCATTTACGATGTTTGTGCGATCTGTTGAATCCTCTGAACTTTGGAAGAGTGTAATTTACCTTTAACCTTTAAATTTAATCTACATATAACCCGACAGGGTCAGTGTATGGGTTCGTTCTCAGCATCGACCCGACAATCAAAAACTCTAAAATTTTAAAATAGAAATTTTATTAGTCTAACAAAATCTGATATAAAATTAATAAAAGTTCAAATAACAAATGTTCGTGTATCTTCTCAATTGTCAGGATATATATATATATATATATATATGTATATATATATATATATATATATATATATATATATATATATCCAACAATGGCTGGTCGGTCGGTTGTTGCTAGTGAATTTTTGTGCTTTTTGACAAATAATTGGAATAATTTCGATAACGAAACTTTTATTTTGAATGTAGTGGATTTCTATTATGTCGACGAAGTTACTGCTGCAATTAAAATTTTGAAAAATGATTTGGAATTGTTAAAAATTAAAGAATTGCAATCAGAATCAGTGGATAAGTTTCAATTTCGCGAAATAAATAAAAAAGACAAAATTTTAGAATGTGTTGAATTGCTAAAAATTTTGAGGTAAGAAGGTTTTATTGATAAATGTTCAATATATTCAGCTGTTAATCTGTTGAGGATACCAAATATTACAAACTGGCTGAATTTTAGTTTTCAACAGATCAAAAATGAAATCGAAGCCATGTTTAGTGTACAACAGACGGCCATAATAGAAGCGTTAGATACGAAACATACCGGCTTGCTGGACAACATACGCTCTATTGTCTCCAATCATACGACAACGTTGCAGGACATAGAAAAGGCTTTTACAACAAGCACTATACCATTGAATAAATCTGAAATGTCTACAGCTTTAAGTGACGTATTGAAAACAAATTTATCAACCAATGCCACAAATAAAACTTCAACTACAAATTCATGGGCAGATAAAAGTAAACATTTGGCTTTTAATTTTAATAAAAATAATAATAATATTAAAAAATCCATGAATGAATCCAACGATGAATTAGACGTTGATGGCTTTCAACTTGTTCAGAAAGTCAAGAAAAAAAGAAAGTCAGATGATTCTCCTCCAGTTCTTCAAACAATAAACAACAAAATAGAATCTAAAAAATCTAACAAAGTATTTGGCACTGGTACGAACTGTCTCTTGAAAGCATCTAAAGTTATAGAGAAAAAAATTGTTTATTATGTAGGTAATGTTGACTCGTGCAAAAAAGATGTCATTGAAAACCATCTAAAAAAAAATAACATAATCTTCAACCAATGTTTCCCAGTCTTGCGAAAAAGAAACCTTTTAAACAATCCTCCAGATAATCATCCAGACAACCCCGCGGTAGATCAAAACCCATTAGTCGAGTCTACGGCATTTAAAATAATTCTGCCAATCAGCCAGTTATCCAAATTCACCAATCCTGATATATGGCACAATACACATTTTTGCGCGAATGGGATTTTTCACTGACGAGTCACAGAAGAACAGCAGAAGATAAAGTTGTCCAATCCAAAATCAAGAATCATGGTGGCGCCAAATAATTTTATATGCAAATCAATGCATAACGAAACGAAGTACTACTCTGAAAATAATATATCAGATTTGTTATCACTATCTGATTGTAGTCTATCTTCATCAGCTTTATCAATCGTGCATGTAAATGCTCGTAGCTTATGCCATAAAATCACGTCCCTTCAAATGCTTAGAGACGGATTTAATAACATTCCTAGTTTAATAGTTATCAGTGAAACCTGGCTGAATGAAGCTTCTGCAGCATTGATTAGATTAGAAGGTTTTAAATTTGTTTTTAAAAATAGAATGACTGGCTTAGGTGGGGGAGTTTGCATGTTTATAAGAACTGACTTAGATTTTTGTGTGTGTGATGATAGAGTGTTTGATGATGATGTTATTGACATGCTGTGCATTAATATAAAGTCTAAACAATTTAATAATAATTGTGAATATATCAAAGCGGTTGCCTTATATAGGCCACCTAATACAAAATTTGATCACTTTTTTGATAAATTAGAAATTACACTTAACGCTTTAAGGCAGAATCATCGAACGTATTTCGTTGGAAATTTCAATGTCGATATCCTAAACTTAGACTCGACACACGCAATGTCATTTCAGAATTTGTTGTTGTCATACGGCTTCGTTCCATTAATTTTTTCACCAACAAGAGTAACCCCAAATTCTAGTTCTTTAATAGATAATATTTTTACAAATTCCTCTGAAACGTATGATAGTGGCATAATTATATCTGATTTGTCCGACCATTATCCAATTTTCTCGATTTCACACTGTTCTAGTTTATCGACAGATAAATTTATCCCTCCATTCCAACGTTGTTTAACAATCAGCAACATTAACAAGATTAACACCTATCTAGCTACTGTTAACTGGACTCCTCTCACAAGCGAAAACGATATTGAAATAGCCTGTTTACTTCTGTACAAAATAATAAATACTGTCTTAAATACATTTGCTCCTTTGCGATCTTGTAAACGCAGAAATAAAAAGTCATGGGTTAATAAGGAAGTGTTATGTATGTCACGTCTGCAAAATAAGTTGTTTAAAAATTACATAGTTAACCCTACTTCAAAAAATTATAATACGTATAAAAAATTTAGAAATAAATTCACTAATCATAAAAGACATTTAGAAAATCAATATTTCAATAATAAATTTCTCGAATATAAAAACGACGCGAAAAGTAAATGGAATGCAATAAATAACATGCTAAATAAAAAACCAGACAAACAAATTATCAATAAAATAGTAACTAATGATATAATAATCTAAAATATAACTGAAATATGTAACACTTTTAATAACTATTTTGTCAATATAACTAAATCATTATTAGATAATACAAATGATAACGCACAGAATCAGAATAGTATTAATTTAATTAAGAAAATATGCAAATCTTTTTATCTTGAATTAACTAACGAATTAGAAATAATAGGATTAGTTGGGAGTATGAAAAACAAAAAAAGCACATCCGATGATGAACTAAGTAATTATTTAGTTAAGCAAATAATAAATAATATAATTGTCCCATTAACCCACATATGCAATCTTTCACTGTCACAATGAATTTTTCCTCAGTGCTTTAAAACTGCGAAAATTCAACCAATATTTAAAAAAGGTGACAGACTGGAAGTATCTAATTATCGACCCATTTCTCTCCTCTCGCCACTCTCAAAAATTCTAGAAAGACTAATGCACTTTAGATTAAACTCATTCTTAAGTGCTAGCAACATCATTACAGATAGGCAATACGGCTTTCGACCAAACCATTCAACAGAGCTTGTTTGCACAAAGGGTGATGTATAATCTAAACGAAAAATTCTTAACTGTCGGAATCTTTATAGACCTGTCAAAAGCCTTTGACCTTATAAACCATGAATTACTTTTACAGAAACTGCGAGTATATGGAATCAGAGGAGTAGCTCTTAATTGGTTTTCCACTTACCTAAAAAATAGAAAACAATATGTCTCGATAAATGGACACAATTCGGAGAAGTTAATTATAAACTCCGGTGTTTCGCAGGGATCAATACTGGGACCATTGCTTTTTTCGGTGTTTATTAACGACCTCTGTTTGGTTCCTACTACAGCTAAATTCTTACTTTTTGCTGACGATACCACTATCTTTTTTCATACCAAAAATCCTCAAGAAGATCAGATAATAATTAATAATAACTTAAAATATATAGCAAACTGGTTTTTATTAAATAAATTAATAATAAATTATTCAAAATGTACTTATTTAATATTCGGTCCGAAAATAATTACAAATGGCATCAATGACTTGACAATATCAATAAATGACAAAATAATATCTCGTTCCACTGAAACAAAATTTTAAGGTATAGTAATCAGAGATAACCTGTCATGGGATTTGCACATTAATTCAATATCACAAAAATCATATAGAATCATAGGTATGCTACATAAAATTAAACATAAAATTAATAAAAATATATTAGTAAATCTTTATTATGCGTTAATTCATCCTTATTTGGTCTATTGTAATCTTCTTTGGGGCAATAGTCCTGATTCACACCTTAATCCAATTGTCGTAACACAAAATCGATTTATTCGATTGCTGCTTGGCCTTCATCCACGTTGCCACATAACTGGTTATTACACGGAGGCAAACATTCTTAGTGTTAAAAATTTGCATCTTTACTTTCTGGCAATCTTCGTGTTTAAATACTTACAACAAAAGTTACCAAAATTTTTTCTAGATTTCTTTACCCTAGCGTCAAATGTCAAAACAAAAGTCTTGAGAAGCGCGCATACATTTTATTTTGTACCGCAGAGAATTAAATTAGTGAATTCATGTTTAAAAATAACAGAACCTAGAGTCTGGGACGAGCTAATTATAAATAAAAATAAAAGAAATTACTTTGATCCATTTATTTAAAAATAAGCTCAAAAATTATTTAATTAATAAAAATACTTATTTTTTAAAACAATAATTATAGTATCAATAACAAGAAAGACGGCCACTTTGATATGGAGCAAGAATATGTTATGAATGTGTATGAAAGGATATGAATGTGTATGAATGGATATGAATGTGTATTAATGGGCATGAATGTGTATGAATCTATATGAATGTATGGATTGTTATGAATGTGTATGAGTGGGCATGAATGTGTATGGATGGATATGAATGTGTGGACATGAATGTGCGTGCATGAGTGAATTATGGATCTAAAGTACTTGAGGGAGCATGAATATGCTTCGAACGTAAA